CCCCTGCCCCGCAACCCCGTGACGTCACCCTCCCCCTGTGACGTCAATTCCCTCCCCGCAGAGACCCCCCTGCCCCGCAACCCCCTCGCCCCCATTTGGTCCAGAAGCGGCCTAGTATCACTACTTATGTTACTTATTTCTCTAAATAATTCAATAAAAAATGTAATATAAATTTGATATTGTTAATTTTATGTGTAATCTCTTTGAATTTTAAAAGTAATTTTCTACATAATTGATTTATATAATCTGAATAAATATTTTTGCAATTTTAATTTTGAAGATAATGGATTCAATCTTTGGAAACAAAGCTTTTATGGTGCCACCTGCAATTGCATCGAGCGAAGGTCCACCTAAGCCAATAAATATGCCAGAACAGTGTCAAAATCGACAGTGGTAGAATCGACAGTGGTAGAATCGACAATGGCAAAATCGACAGTGGCAGAATCGGCAGTAGCAAAATCACCCTTATTACTATCTAGTAAATAATAATAAATTAATAAGATTTCGATTCTTTATAATGTGCACATATTTGATTAGTAATTAATTTCTATTTTAGATCTATGCAAAAAGCGGAGAGTTGAAACTATCTTGGAGACTTTTATTGAGAATATAAAACAAAATAGAGAGGTAATAATGACTAAAAAGAAAGAAAAGAGGAAAGAACATGAGAAATTAAAAGAACAGCGGTATGCCGAGCGTAAAGAAGAACGAAGGAAGATTCACGAGGATAAAATGGAGATCCAAAAATCGTTGATTGAAATAATGAAAACTTTAGTTGAAAAGAAAAAATAATTTTAATATTCTATATTTATTCATATAATAACTCGAAAATATTGTTGATATTATTTCTGTTACAGCGTTGCTTCGGTATGTGCCTTATATTTTATTTTCTGTGTGATAGTTATCTAGTTTGCAATAAGTCTGTGATCTATCTGTCTGAAGATTTAATTTAGTTACTATGTTAACACTACCATATACAATCAATTAATAATAGTTTATGTTTAATGGAAATTAAAAAATATGAGAAATTAACTATTAAGCATACTAAATGCATACAAGTGATATTAATTAGTAAAAATTTGTGATAGTACTGTTACGTCCAGACCCCAGGATATTTGCTTGGATTTGTAGGTAGAGAGAGTGAGTCTCGTGTGTGAACGAGATAGAGTTGGAAGTGGAGGGGGTTAGGAAGGACGTAACTAAGTAAACTATCTCGCAGGTACGCACAGAGGCGCACGATGCGAGTCGAAGACGGTTTGCAAAGGTTCGAAAACGAGTCAATGTCCTTAGAAGGACACTATTACTTCGTTTATTGAACCAGCGCGTTCGTCGGTCCTGTTTTAGGTCAAGGAACTTAATTCTCTATGACCTGGGATCGGACCAAGCGCGTCTCTCGGTTAGGCAAGCAATGAATGGGGGTGAAGGTCTTTAAAAAAGTACAGTATTTAAATTAACAAAAACATAGTTTATTCGTAAAGCTAAAGATACAGAATACTAATTTCTTAATCGCAAGGTTAAACTAATGCTAGCGAACGGGAGTGTATGCGTAAATGTATATAAAGGCATAGTTGATTGTCGGGGTTGATGGAAGTTTGTACAATACAAGAAAGAAATATTGTCACAGTTACGTTATTTTTATTATTGTTAATGAGGGAAGTGAATCGGTATAAATAATATTTCGAAACTTAAAATAATTGATAAGGTGTTGAATATCGAAATTGAATTAAATTAAATTTGACATAATGTGATGTAGTTACAATGTAAATCGATTAGTACACAGATATGTAACAATAAAATTATAACGGGGGAGTGTAAATGAAGGTTAATCGTGGATCTCATAAAGGGTTGCAGTTGAAGGGGGGAAGAAATTATAGAAGAATTCGATAAGGACGTTGTATGGGTATTGGGAGTGCGGCAGGTAAACGGGAATGTATGAATTCCGGGGGGCAGTTCTCATGTGCAAACGGATTTCGTCACGGTCAAAGAAATCCGGGCCTATTGTGAAGATTCCCTGGGGAAGAGGAGTCGTGAGTTGGTCAAATTGTGAAAACAACGATTCTAAGGTTCGATGGTTGCCGTAATTATAATAAAACCGAGGACGTGGTGCCAGTATTTCGTCGACAATTTCACAAAGGGAAGAATCAGATGAGGTGGAAGGTGCGGGGGAGGGAGGATCCTCTATGATTTGCACTTCGTCATCATTGGAGGAAGGAGTGGGAGATGGCGAGTTTTCAAACTGTTGTTCGTTTCGGAAACGACCGTGGGGAGATGGGGGAGAGAGAGGATTCCCATCGGAATCGTAGATGGAGATTGCTGGAGATCCAGGAATCAATAGATTTTCATAAGGAGAAGGTGGATTTAGCCAATCTCCTATGTCGGGAAAATTATAAGGAGGAGAAGACTCGGGAGAAGGAGAGCGAATTGGAGGTGAAGGGTTAGAGTGGGGAGGAGTATCGGGAAAGATTCTCTGCGTTGCGGCAGAGGAAGAAGGAGAGGGCGGTGGGGAAACTTGAGGTGAAGGTGACTTCTCTGGGAAAGGAGATCGGGGGTTAGAATTTGCGCTAATCAGGCCCGCGTGTTCCGCATCTTGGAAGGTTTGGCGCCACTCCTTAAAGGCTTCGTCAAGCAATTGTCGCGCATTTCTCCGGGCTAGCTGGCAGGAACGCCTAGGCTGACGGCTCTGCGAAACAGTGGGGCGAGTGAACTCTCGGTTGTTCACTATAACATGTGTAAAATAGTATCCGAAATTGAAGAAGGGACGCGAGGTGGCAACGAAAGATTTTACGACTTACTGATTCGAAAAAGCTGGTATCTGTCTGAGGTTGAAATTCAGTGAAGGCCGCTTGGCTGCTCAGGTCGTCTGCTCAAGGGTCAATCGGCTGGCTCAGGCGATCAGTCCGGTCACTTAATACCGGGGATTCGAACTTAAACGCGCACTGGCTCTAAAAAGCTGACTGATTTCTGACAGACGTCAGACCGACTGAATAGACTCAGGATTTTTGAATGTCAAGTTCGGGAATGTCTCGGCTTATATAAGGAAACTCATGGGATGTGGGAGGTCGCAATTTGAGGAAAAAATGAATTTGGTTGGGAGATTCGATTTGGGATCACTCCGCCCGTTTCACAGTTATCAATTCCTAAAGCTACCCATTGGTGAACCACCTCAGATGCGTTGCCGAATTTTAGATTTCGCACCTTGTTATTGGTGGGTCCCTGATATGATTCTTATTTGGTAGGTGATCGTATTTATCGGGCCAAATTCGTTTGATCCGACCGCGGCAAAATCAATGTTTATTCCGAACGTGAGATCTTGAATTTTTTGCTGGGTTATCTTGTCTTTGGTAAATGTTCACCTTTACACAGTCAGCCCCAAATGACTTCCGACTGATTTTGATCTTGACCTTGACCCTTAAGAAGTTTAAGGCCACTGACGTTTCCCGTCGCTCATTATTTATTAAAAAGTTATTAACATAATAAGTTATATATGCTCATTTAATCGTGTGTCATGTTTATGGGATTTAGTGGATTATTCGTTAAATAGT